AGGGAAGGGGGGGGGGGGGCGGGAATGGCACAAATTGCAAAAATGGGGAGAAATATCCGAGAGTGAAAAAAAATTATTATGCTGAAACCATTCGGAAGCATACCACCAATTTAGTGATGGCGAAGAAAGCATTAAAACATCACTCAGTGACATGCTCACTATCATATTCTCGCTGTCAGATGTCCGCTGCTTACTGCTTGTGTCATAATGGATACATACATTTCTTCTTTGAGACATTTTGAAACAACAATTGTCCATCGGGTGAAAACCGAGGCACTTGGACAATTTTAAGTGTGAAAATAAAAAACGTAAAATCGATTGTAGTCATAATCTTTCCCACTTTTCAACATATGCCATCATATATAAAAATTCGCTTAATAAGTCCTGAGCTCTGCTTGTTTCATATATTTTTTTTCTTTCCAATTTCACCGCGGTCTCCCTTTACAGAATAAACTTTTCTAATTCTCTAGGAAATTGGACAATTTTGGCGAATTTTCTTGAATTTAAAACGTAAGATGTCTCTACATTAAAAGAAAAAGAATCATTTTTGTGATACCTGTCTCAAAAGTACACTTTTCGAAGTGGTTTAGTGTGTGTAAAGCAGTTGTTTTCTACATGGCGTGCGTAAAGTTCACAAGCGTGCGTAAAGTGAATGCTCGTGCATAAAGCCTCGCTTTACGCACTCGAAATTCACTTTACACACGCTCTTGAACTTTACATACTCGTGTAGAAAAATAACCACATTACCGCCACTACCGTTCCGAATAGTGAACTCGCCAGGTATCACAAAAAATAAGATGTATTACACGTGCGTGTAAAAAAGTGGAACTTTACGCACTAAAATTGGTCTATTTCATCTCTTGAATGAAAAAGGATAAAACGTTAATATGTTTCTATATGAAATAATTAATGAAGCTAACCCAACCTGGTAAAGACAATTGTAATTGTAAATTGTATTGTAATTTTTTCCAGACTTGTTACACGCTGCATTACAGTTTCGGCGAGAATTAGAATAGAATTGTTGCAACAAGGGCAATGTGGTACACGATCACTAGAATTCAGAAGTAAATTTTCGAGAAGTTCAAGAAGTAAATTTCGTAAACTGATACACGTTTACACGAAAAAACTTGATTCAATGATCTTCATCAGGCAGTCATTGTAATTACCGCGAAAGTATCAGAATTTGGACCATGATTTCTTTCGAACAAAAGGACCAATTCAATCCTTTTTTTCGTCTCTATGCGATTTAGACTTGATTTAAATGTGCATCCGAACTCAGCCATGATTCAGTTATACGTTAAGGATATCCAAGTACATTTTACAGTTTGGTATAGACCACCCTATACATTCAATCATTTTCAATCATCAAATTGGTCAATTAAATGGCATGAGAAAACTACGATAAAAAATCATGAATATTTTGCGTCATTCAAATTACATTTTGCACAGAATTATCATTTTCTTTAAACATTCGTTGTTTATAAATAAATAATTGAAATTGTTCAAACTTTCGGAAGCCTTTTTTTTAGACATGAAATCGATTTTTAGTAAAATCCTGAATATGAATAGATGTCTTCTTCCAAAATTCCGAATAAATTATTTCATCAATAGCCATCCAAAAGTAAACTTTCTATTTTTTTCCGATTTTTGAAATGTTTTCTAACGGTTAAATATCGAGATTTGAATTCGGACCTGCAAAGTTTAAATATAACCCGTGATCACTTGCTTAATGAGCGCGGCGCCGCCCGTTTTCGTTTTTTTATATTTTAACACGTGTTTTGACGTTTAAAACCTCTGAAAAAATTAGAGTCCCTAATTCAAACCTTGTATTAGACATTGGCGTTCGTTTTTTTCTTGGAAAATTCGTTTAGCTAAAAAAAGAAAGGAAACGTCGAACGGACAGAAAAGCGGCGCTGCGTTGCCCGATGCGAGTGAGTCCCGGTCGACTCCTCGAGCGTCGACTCCTCGAGCAGTGTTGCTACTTTCACGGCCACACTTGGAATGTGCGCATAGCAGTAAGCGCCAAGGTGGCAACAGCGCGCTCGGTTTAACCCAACAGCGCTACCCGGGTATAAATCACGCCGCTCGAGCTCGGCTCGGAACCCGTATCCCAGCTAGAAATACGCCACTCCGCCCCAGCTTGGGATACACTCCACGCGCGTCACATGTACCCGAGGTTGAGCCGTGTCATGCGCTCACAGCCCAGCGTTAGACTATTATGCGAAACGCTTCGCCGGGCTTTAGTTGAATGGCCACTGCTCAACCTCAGGTTCATCTTCAATTACTCAATCCCAGTATACTTAACCTCAATAATGATTTGACAGGTCCGATGGCATCGTGATTTGAGCGAAAAAACAATCGAATAAATGTGAAGATGGCATGCTTTTTCAGATGAACAATCACAAGCTCATCAGAAATAACGTGATATTAACTAATCGAATGGGATTAATCTGAAAATACAAGGTAGAACAATTCACTGAAACGTAGTCAAAACTTTCTTTTTTCTCGCGAATACAACAAACAAAATCAAGAAAAATAATCACTTGAAAAACGTTAACGAACCTTTATTATTAATTATCAACGCTACAGGAGAGGATATTCTTCATTTTTCGATAGGCCTACGAGTTCTAAGAATATTCTACGATTTATTAGGGAAATGTTGAATACAGGTATGCCAAAATAACACGCATGAAAAAATTCAACAGAAAAACCTAGCGCTTTCTATTAAATTTCTATTGGAATTCTATGAGAATTCTCTGGAAGTTCTATTAGAATTCTATTCGTTTCTTGCGCCGATTCTATAGGAGATTATGCAACTTCATAGAGTCTTTTTGTTAAGGTAAAATTTGGTGCAAGAAAGTAAATAGGTTTTTATGTTCCTATAGATTTTCTTAGGCGTAAGATTTCTAAGTTTTTTCCGCTCGGTTTTTCTTCTTTTCTTTTAATCAAATGCAGGAACAAAACTTGGAAAATTCATGCCCAATAGTTTCTGTGGAAGAAATCCTAACAGAATAAATTATCTAGAAAAATCAATGGATTTTTTTCTACAAACAAATATCTATTAAAAATGCAGAGGAAAGTTGCATAATTTTCAATGGAATTGACGCAAAAAAAAATAGAATTTTTCAATAGAATTACAATAAAACTCAAATAGAATTCTCATAGAGCTCCAATAGAAATTCAATAGGAATTCTTAGAGAAAGTGCCAGGTTTTATATTCGATGACAGAGGGAAAAATCAGTAAATTTCAAATTTTATAGAAAGTTCCACTGGGAATTCCATTTTTTTTTATAGTAAGAAGACAAGGATTTTCCAAAGTATTCAAATTTTAAATCGATATTCTAAAAATGCACAAATATCATTCTATTCCACCCTCCACTCGAAACGACACGACTCAATCGGAGTTGAGTTCTAAGCGTTGAGCCACAGCTCAAACTCAAGTGCCGGGTTATGGCGTCTGATGAGCGTTCGACTGTGAGCCGGTATGGAGCGGCGTGTCGCGGCGTGAACTCGGGTCAAGCGGCAAGCCGAGGCTGAGCTCGCGCACACCCGAGTTGCGGCTGAATCCCCGGTTGAATTTCTACCCGGGTAACCGTGCGACGGATGAAGGTTGGCGGCCGAGCGTGAGTGATCGAGGGATAATAAAATAATTGTAAAATATCCGGAGACTTAGGGTCAAATCGGGTTCAAATGAAAGCTCTTATGTTCGGTTATAAAAATAGAAAAACATTTCACTGGAGAAAAAATAGCCAAAGTACTTGGATATCCTTAACAATCGACGATTCTTTTCCAGTTTTACGATTTTTTGTAGAAAAACTACGGAATTTGATTGTTTTCTGCAATTGATGTGTCTTCATATAGCTTAAGTCTAACCAAATGTTGAGCGGAATCGTTTCAGAAAGTTATTGGTTTCATCGGTAATAGATCACATCCCCATTAATCCTTACCTGACAAAAGCACCATTCTTCATTGATATTTCAAATTAAAATCACATTTTTCATATATTTTTAATTCGGCAATGGATCGACAATATTTAACCCTGGTTCATATAATTTTTTTCATTCAGGAAAATGATAAAAAATCGTTATCAGAAGAAACCGTTTGAAACGACGTAACAAAGAATTATAGAAAACCTAGCGCATTTCCTACGATCATTCAATTGGGTTTGTATTGAAAATCCACTGAAAGTTGATTATGTACAATTCTATTAAAAAATTCTATGAAGTTTGCCGATTTCTATAAAAAATATTCAATTTTATCAAGTGTTTTCAATAGATATTTTACAGAAAAAAGGCAATAGATGGTTATTATAACTTATTCTATTGGGGTTCTTTCCATAACAATTTTTGGGTATGAATTTTGCACTATTCACGCACGAAAAAATTTAATAGAATATATTGAGATGTTTTCTGTAGAATTCCCTCATCTGAAATTTCCTATGTTTTTTTCATTCTATTTTTCATTTTCTTTCATCAAAAAATCAAACAAAAAAACTTGGAAAATTTGATAAAATTCTATAGAAAACATCTCAATGGAACAAATTGTATAGAAAAATCGTGTTCTATTGATTTGTTCTGCAGAATATTTTCTATTGAACATTTCAATAGAATTGGCCAAAAACTAATGAAAAGTAATTCAATAGAATTATCATGCGAATCTGCTAGGTTTTTCTATTGAATTATTACGCGCGTGTTGCCTAACGTTATTATCACCACTGTTTCGGTCAATATTGAATGATAAAATACTTGATCAGGAATTAATAACATGATTCCTATACTATTTCATGCCATTAATTGAATCAGTTTATAATGATATGACGGTTAATATAGATAGAATAGTTAATATTAATTGAGTTGGATTAATGTGGGGTGGGGAACAACTGGCCTCATGTAAATTAGGTGACAGTATTTGAGGAAAATGGTGGGGGGCACGTAAGCAATCAATAATGGGCAATTATTCTATTAATGGATAATTTGCCTGTCAATAATATTAATTGTTACCTCTCGGGGTTCGTGTGTCTGGCAGAGTGAGCCACAGGGGGAATAGTATTGGTGCAACTAGAATGTAGGTGAGACGCTTTTTTCCAGTGTTAGGCCAAGCCATGTCCAGCGCCTCTGGTGGATCGTCTTCTTCACCCTTGAATCATTTGAGAAAATCGATTAATTTAATAGGAAATTTCAACCATCACTTTGACGATGTAATTATATGAGGTCTCAATGAACGAAAGGGTTTAATGCAAATTCGTTTGATTGAATTGAATGAATCAGGGGTGAAATGGTGAACGGAACTAGATCCAATTTGCTTGGACCAATTATCACGCAAATATTGAAGACGTTTTTGATATTTTTTCACAAATATTTCCATTCAATGATATTGTTTTCAGACATTGGACATTATTTAGAAAAGATTGAAAATCCTTTTGCGATTATCGCTGGTATTAATGAGTTGAATGGAAAAGTTTTCGGACCTTTTTTCCTACAATTCTATCTTTCCAAGATATTAGCAAAATGTAGTTCAAATTTATCTGTGAAAACTTCTATAGGGATCATTTTGCATGTACCTCTCAAACAAATATGTTCACTGTTACAAAATTATGACTAATATTTCTGGTACAATGCTTATCAAATGACACTTCCCCAGACATTTCAAAGAATTTCGTAATTGAAAATTCACAATTTGATGAAAGAAATCTATGGAAACTGTTAGCTTCATTTAAATTATTGCATGAAAATAAATGGAAATGTCGCAAATTCAAGGATATGTTTACATGAATTTTCAATTAATTAAAATTAATCGAACTATGGCACTGAATTTTTATGTGATCATTGGAAGTCCAATTAAATTAGGTGATTCTCGCCTTTTTGCTGCTCAATTTTTTTTCAGTAAAATGCCAAATTGTATGATTTTTCTTTTCCAAATTAAAATCAATATCACTCTCCTAAAACCTACTGCTGAACTGTCCATAAAATTGTGAGTTTTTCTTAGCAGTTTTGGAAAAACAAAGTCAGCAGATTTCCTCAGTCCACTGTTAGAAATTTTTTGAAATTTCATGGATGATATTATAGTAAATCTCTTGAGAGAGACATTGAATCGGATTTAGGAAAAAAAATGGTTATGAAATTTCAAGTTTCAAGTAGAATTTACAGAAATTCATGAGTTTTTAGTAGGGGTAAGATGGAAATTTCACAACTTGATTGAATTTTCAGTAGAATATGAATATGCAGATACAAAATGACATGCATTTTCAATTTTTTCCTGAATTTCCCAGATTTTCCAGAATTTTCACAGAATAATTGAACTGAAAAATCAAGTATTTTATTGATTTCCAGATCAATTGAACAGAAATTCAATGGAATTTGATTTGATTTTCCAATGACAAGATTTCCTGAAATTTTAGTGAAGTTTGAATAGGATAAAAATTTCCGGAATTTGGCACGGAAAATTCAGACGAAAATTTTTAACAGTGTAGTCCATAAAATTCCACTCAGAAAAATCCATGGCCAACTATAGCATATCTGTCCTTACTGATAACAGATTGTGGTTGTCACCCACATATTAGCAAGTTTTCACTTGACTCACCACCAGTTTCATCTATGAGAATAAAAATTTATTTGTCGCAGTAACAATTTAATTCAATTATTCTTGAACAGAATTTTTTAAACTTATAAGTCAACTTTTAGAGTTTGATTACGTGGCGATATAACATCTAATAAAGTAAAGTTTGTTAAAAGAAATGTTTCTTTTCTACGTGATCTCTACAATGAAGGTCTTCCAGCATTATTGTCTAAATTTCTATCTCCCAGAGATATTTGGAGATATTTTTAAACTATCTCAACAATATCTCTGAAACTACAAAGATCGACATATTTATGCAATCCTTGAAATCGCCGGCGTAAAATATCGTTCAATGATTTGTTTTAACTTTTTGCGTCTCAAAAATATTGGCACAATAATACGCAAAGTGCTTTTATCAATTCAGTAGCGAAGCGGTAAAACAGTTTATATCAAAATTTGCAAACATTTTTAGGAAATTCGACAAACAATTGTGGTCATCTTAGGTCATCCAAATTTTGGTAAAAATTTCATTTTCTAAAAAAAAATTGACTCAAATCGTTGTACACCTTCGCTACTGAATTTCCTTCCGCTATTCTTCCTCTGGTGTAATCTCTTGGTATCTCAATGGAAGTAAATTTTAATGGAAATACAGTAGCCGATGAAGAAAATATTGACTCCCCCCAATTAGTCAGATAAAGTCATCGACTGAACTAAAGAAATCGACTGAAATAATGATTTTCTTGAACAAAAACCATTCAACGTTTTAAAAATCGTGTTTTCACGCTGTGGATAAAATTATTGTGAAAAAGTGATACATAAATTTATTGATTTTGATTTCATACTCGTATACAAATTAGAACATTATCAGAACAAATTTGAAAATCCCACTGAATGTCATTCCCTTGAAACGATTCTTTTTGCTATTTTTCAGTGATATAATCTTATTTCAATAAATTATCAACGAATGGATATAAATGGATGGTATTTGTGGAACGATAGGCCAATATCACCGTGTCTCGTAACAGGATAAGGCGCGTAGTGCGTCTCATACACGGAGGGAGAATAAAATTAAAAATTGTTACGTCAACATAGTAATCGTTGAGCATATCGGTAAACCTTGAAAATTTGATTTATTTTAACCGAATTTTTGCGATGTGAAATTCATTTTTTATGATCTAACATAGTAATTTTTGGCCAACAAAACAGTATAAAATGCACCGAAGAAAGAATCATTTTCCAGAATCTTAAAAATGCTTCATTTTTTCACGAATTTTCAGAATTAAACAACGAAAAATTACTCAAATTGTATGAATTTTGATGATATTAAATTGTAATTTTTTTATATGATTTGAGGGGAGGTTCACCCCGCGGTGAAAATGTCTTCGTTTTTCGAGAAACAAAAAATTAGCAGTAGTAAAAATTTATTTTTCTTTTCATATACCCTTTCGCGTTTTTACGATTTGTTTGATTTGATTTGAAAACCTCATTTGAGGGAAAAACCTGCCCAGGTACAGTCGTCTCTTCCGAGACTCCCGCTCGACAAATGCAATCGTGAGATTTAGAGTGTCACAAATTGTGGCTCCCCCCAGCCGGGAATCGAACCCGGGTCTCCCGCATGCCAATCCCACACTCTAACCACACAACCACCGCCGTCGGTAATTAAAAATAGTATTTTCCGCGTGTTTTTTCCTCAGGAATCCGATTTTGTAGGTCAAACTTGTCTCCGACCGCTAAAAATTAAAGATTCAATCTCGTTTCGAAAAGTCAACTTGGAAAAAATTCCCGACGTAGTTTTTTTAGAAATAGTTTTTTGAATATGATCATGAATTTTCGTTCCTTACTGATGAAAAATGCGAGAGAAGATACATTTTTCAGTTTAGTGGTCAACTAAAAAAAGTCGTTATTTTCCGTGGAATCCCTTATGTTCTTAACATTTTTTATGAGTATCAATTAAAACAAGAGAATTTTCACAAAAAGAATCGAAAACTAATGGAACCCATACAAAAAAATGAACCTATTCGATTTTTAGGGAGGAATTGCGCTGGCGAAATCTGGATTACTGAGAGGAGCCCTCTCAACTATTGAGTAATAAATTCTAGGTACATGTATGAGGACCACTAAACATAGAGTTAGCGTTAATAAATAAAGTTTATACATAATATTTGGACAAGATTTTCTTTTCCTAATATCTTAACAGAAATTTTGATAAACGAATATATTTCAAAATATATCTTCTCCCGCATTTTTTATAGTTCACAGGCCAAAATTTGTGATCATATTCAAAAAACTATTTTAAAAAATACGTTCGGGATTAGTGTTAAGTTTACTTTTCGATCAAAACACATTTCAATCCCTAATTTTGACCGATAAAATCAGATTCTTGAGGAAAAGTCACGCGAAAAATCGCAGTCTCTAATTTTTTTTTTGAAAAACGAAAAATTTTTTCCCCGAGGTGAACCTCCCCTTAAAACTTTGATTTATGGTCTCGTGTCTTCTACATTTTACTTGACGAAATAGCAGAAATTAGTATGAGGCTATTTATACCGGGACTTTAACTCCCGCCAAGTACGCCTAAGTTTACATTTATTCCGGTCCAAGTTTCGGGTGAGGGTTATAAAATTCTCAAAAATTCGGTCACTCCTCCGCCCCCTTCTTGTTCAGAATGAACATACGTGAAGCAAAATTCCTACAAAACAATTTTCAAGGATGATAACAAATAATTAAAAATGCTTCTTTCCTTCGCTGATTTCAGAAATCCCTCTCATTCTCTTCCAAGAATATTTATTTTGGAAAGGGAGGGGAATATTTTTCAAACCGACCCAGTAAAAATTCATGTTTACCCTCCTAAATTATACTCGTATGAAATTGAATTTTACTTTTATGCTAGCACTTTCTACTCTAGCGCCTCTCAATTTTTACTATGTTCAACAGTAATGTTTCCAACAGACTCCACCATATTTTATTTTGTCACCCGTAGTTTTTCATTTGCTTTTGAAATTATAATTTTAAACAGTAAATTTTCGAATGTAGCGGGTATTGTCCTGCATTCGATTTTTCCTATTAAGAATTACTGTGTTTCCACAGTAAGGAATAATTTAATATTCTTCCCGTGTGCCACACTACTGTAAAAAGAAGTAGTACGAACCGATTCAAGTCCGGCATCGAGTCCCGACGCAATGCCGCCATTTTGAAGTTCCTGAATTCCAACAGTGGTCCCAGCTGTTGTCGTCGTAGTGGTTGTGGTCGTAGTACCTTGAGATCCCTGCTGTAATTGTAAAGCTGTTTCCTTGGAGGCACTGCCTGAGTAATGCGCCGATGTTGACGTTGCTGCACCATTCTGAGGCCTCGTAGCATCCAGCAGCACTTTCAACGACGCTATCGCGTGTAATTGCGTCGCCTTCTCATCCACTTTACCTGCATATCCATTAAAAAATAATTAGAACAATTTCCCAAGTCCTTTCATTGGAAAAAAATTGAAATATTAATCTAATGAAGCGTATAATCGCCTAAATCCTATCACCACTATCACCAAATGCTGTAACTAATCGAATATGTCTGCGGCGGACGGAAGTGCTATTCTCCCAATTGGAATACTTACTTGTCAATTGAATTTTAATCGTCGAGGTTCAAATTAGTTGGAATTGAATACAGGGTCATTACCGAAATTCGCACTGGAACCAACACAGATGGGGCTGGAAGGAAGATGTGGGTCTGGCTGTTTCAGGCAGTAGGACGGATCGATAGCTCGGATTCTGCTGGACCATTAGGATCCTTTCAACGAGATTTATCCGCCAATGGAGTGAATATACCAATGGAGTGAATATACCCATCAGATGTGTGTGTGTGTGTGTGTGTGTATTTATTCACCCCGAAATTTGTGGCTGAATTTTCATAATACCAATAGTTCCCCCCAAGGCCCCACGTACATCGTATCTCATCTGTGTATATGATAAAATTTGGAATGCTTTTCATGCATAATAATTGCGTGCATAAATGTGCAAATTAAAGTATTGAGTTTGTTAACGATGGCTATTTCTGGAGGGTGATGGAAAAATCTGTTAAATTTGTGGTATTGGGAAGGAAATACGAATTGTTGGTGCGCGTTTTTAAATGTTACGAAATAAACTTCAGGTGATTTAATATGCAAATAGTAAAACGGACACGGAAAAGAATATTCTTGAATTGAGCATAAAATATACTTCATTCAAGTACCCGGAGAAAATTATTATTATTATTATTATTATATATAAACTAGTTGTTGAAATTCACCAAGCAGTTGTTAAAATTCAACAACAGGTTGGTAATTAATTTTTTTCAACAACTAGTAGGTGAATTTCACCATATACTCGAATCAAAAATAAAATATACTTGATTCAAATATATTTTATACTCGAATGGAGGATGATTATTTCGTATCAGCCCAGGTTGTACCAAGCACTCTCATTGGTTAAATTGTCGCTCATGTTCAATGCCCCTCCAAAAAATAGGTGATAAAAAAAGGGCTTATCAATCAAAGAATATAAAGCACTCTCCCAACTAAGCTACTGGAAACTATAGGAATTCTCTCTCCAACTTCGCTTCACAACACCGTCTAACCACCTTTAGGGATTGAATATTCAAAGAGAATGAGAATTGAGAAAGAAAAAAATCCCGCACCGCTCAGTTGGGATTCGAACCCAGCTCTCCCAGTTACACGTCTGACATTCTCTCAACTAAACTACTGGAAACTATCAAACGGTCATTTAGTAGTAAAGATCAGAAAATTTCTTAACCAAACCCCGTTTTCAATTTTGGTGCTCTGAAGAGTTCGGAGGTGAACTAGCGAGAAAATAGTATATTTCGAAAGACGGTAGTGGTCACACGGGTAGTGTACAGCTCCTGCGGTTGTCCAAGCTAATGCAGCGTTTAGTCTGGTTAGCACTTGGATGGGTGACCGCTTAGCTGTACACCTTTCTGCGTGGGACTACTGGCGCTAGAAAAAAATGTAGGGAGCTACTGTGCTCATCGAGTCAATGTGATCAGTGTGACCGATGAACACACTAGAACTCCTACAATATCGGCCGGCTGCATGACTGAGGTCTTCCGTGGTTTCCCCACTGAAATATAATAATATTTCAGTGGGTTTCCCTCAGTTCAGGCCAAATGGCAGCAGTTGGGGAAGTTGGCCCATGGTAAAGCAGAGGGGGGAACATGAGAGGTAAAAAGAGAGGAGGGAGAGGCAGGCAGGGTGCGAGTGTAAAACCGACCGTAATGGTTCGGTGAGTTAGGTGCAGCTGCGTTTAGTGCGGTTAGAACTTGGATAGGTGACCGCTTAGAAACACCCTCGTCCAGAAATTTCGGAAGGTAGGCACGCTGCAGTGGCCTAATGTGCCCCTCTAGTCAGTGTGACAGAAGGGCATATTAGTGCTCTGCACAATCGGTCGGCTGTACGACTGGGGTTTTCCATGGTTTTCCTTGCAGTCCTAGCCCGAATGGGGTACAGTTAAAAGAGTCAGACGGCCCATGGTAATGCAGAACAAATCACCTTGCCATTGGATTATCTACCTTACCAATAACTCCTGAACCGTCCCGTAGAGGGATAACGGCCGAATAGCCAATGCAGCTGGAGCCATGAGGAAGAAGAAGAAGAAGAAGGGTGCGAGTGTCAAATCGAGAATTGTACTTCAATAATACCAAAGTATCAAATAAAATATAAATAGTATATTTCGAAACGAGTGAGACGGAATTTGCAGCTCGTGTAATCAACTGCACACTCACATGTGTTGAACAATATTTTTTAACAGTGATGTTACGTTCAGCGAGCGGCCGAACTGTGCCCTTTTCGTTTACAAGTAAATGAAAATACTTTTTGACACGAGGTGAACGTAGCAGCAGTATCAAAAACCACATTTTTTGTCTTACTAAAATAGTATATTGTGCATCAAGGGCGGAAAGTAAAGACTTCGCGAGGAAAGTGAGTACTTTCCTCCCGAGTAGAAATTTCGTCAGGCAGGCCTTTTGGCAGAGAAGGCCCTGCTCCGGTATCGATACGGTATGCCTGATTACGGTATGGCAGATCAGGGCCTGAAGGGGACCATTGCATGTTCACCTCACCAATAAATTCCAAACTTTAAGCAGGCATGCCTCATCATGCCCCAGTCAGGGCCTTTTGAGCGTACCGTAATAGAGAAAAATTAAAGTGACATCAGGCATGTCTGATAAGGGAAATTCTGGGGTCTTTTTCAGCCTGTTTTGATTGAACACGCGTGCTTGTTGAGTATACAGGATACGGCCAACTCGATCCGGCCATGATCAGGACCAGGTAAGGTATGCCGGGAATCCTTAACTTCGAAAATTCTATAAGTTCAATACGGAGAACCTGATCCGGCAATGATAATGGTCCGGATAAAAATTTTCACCAAACAAAGAGTCGGGGTGGAAATGGTAAATGGGAGTGGGTCGGAGGGGTGGGGGGGTAATGATCAGGAATATTATACTAATTGATATTATTCTAGACTAAGTTCAATTCTATAATTTTATTGGGAGTATTATTGATATACTCAAAACACAATTATTGTTAAGAAAGATACGGTGGTCGAGTGGATAGGATACAGAACTACTACGCGGAGGGTCCCGAGTTCAAGTCCCGCTCTGGGTGATTTTCCTTTCTTTTTTTTTCTCGACCCACCGATTCTGGGACCACTATTTATTTATTTATTTATTATTCATTTTTGGCCCAATTTAATAATTCAGGTAGCATTTTATTAATTTGTAGCAGAGTCTATGCCAGGTAATGGCGAAACCAGGCCGCCTATCACGACCCTTATCAGGTTTAGAAATCAGGTCCTGATCATACTTTGCGTTACATTTCCTATTAGGCTCTGATGTGGTAACCGTAAAAGGGTCGGATCTTTTCTACGGCACAGTGGACCAGGGCCTGGCCAGCCAAATACTAAAATTTCTACTCGGGCTCCCGCTCATCAAAGAGCAAAATACGAACTTTCCTTTGCAGGCGTGTTAAAAAATTGCATGTGCACCTCGGACGGAAAGTCTTGACTTTTCGCCCTTGATGCACAATATACTATTTTCGAAAATATCTTGGAATCAAAGGAAGTAGAGAAATTTTTCCATAAATCTTTTTGTAGAGCAAAACCACATGTACAAAAAAAATTGTACGATTTTTTTTCATCGAATGGTAGATTCAAAAATATTCATTAAAAAATTATCTCCAAATTCAGTTCCCAATGAGCTTTTCTAGAATATCTGCGGATTAAAGCAACCTACTTCTTGGTACATATAGACCCTTCTTGTAGTCGTGTGTAAGGGTCAGTTGAGTGTATGGGTCAGATGAGTGCGAAAGCCCTATTGGGCCTGAGAGTCAGATGAGTCTAAGACGAGAATAAGGGTCAAATGAGTCTGAGGGTCAGATCGATTCTGAGGGTCACGTGAGCCAAAGGTCATCTGACTTTTAGATTGAACTGACCGTTAAACTCAACTTAGCCTTTTACTCATCTGACCTTTAGATTCGCCTGACCCTTCGTACTCTTTTGACCCTTAGGCTCAACTGAATCGTAGATTCGCATGATCCTTCACACTCAACTGACCCTCAAATCCGCCTGACCCTTTGTAGTTTGATCCTTAGACTCAACTGACTCTTAGATTCGCCTGATCCTTCGGACTCAAATAACCCTTAGACCCATCTGACCCTTAAACTCAACTGACACTTGAACGCAATTGATCTTTAAACTGAACTGAAGCTTTTGCGTATCTGACCTTTACTCAACAGACCCTTAAATTCGCATGATCCTTCGGACTCAACTAATCCTTAGACCCATCTGACCCTTAAACTCAACTCTCACTGAGACGCATCTAACCTTTAAACTCAACTAAGACTTCTACTTATCTGACCCATACTCAACTGACCCTTATATTCACTTGACCCTTCGTACCCTTTTGACCCTCAGATTCGTGTGATTCTTCGGACTCGACTGACCCTTATATCCATCTGGCCCTATGCTGAAGGTTTTACGCTTATTGATAAAATAAAACCCATCTGGCTCTCATACTCATCTGACCCTTAGATTCATTTGACCCTTAAACTCAATTGACCCTTAAACTCAACTGACACTTGAATACAACTGACCCTTAAACTCAACTGAGCCTGTTACTTATCTGACCCTTATATTCGACTGACTCTTCGTACTCTTTTGACCCTTAGGTTCAACTGACCCTCAGGTTCGCGTGACCCTTCAGACTCAACTAACTCTTACACTTATCGGATCTTTACACTCACTGACTTTATGTCACACTCACTGACTTTATATGAAGGGTCCGACCCTTAGACGCCTTAGACCTATATGGAGTCTAATTCCCTCTCATCTCCTCCCCCTGCTCCTTCTCTCTTCATTTCCTGTATTACTCTATTGCCTACTTTC